CCAAACCTTAGAGAGGTGAAAAGGCAGAGGAACACCTGTTTTTATACCACGGAATTAAAGACGCAGCTAGAAAAATGAACTTACAGAGATGAAAGTTGCATAGGTGTAGAGAGTCGTTCTGGCGAGACCCATGCGGAATTTTGCCATGTATACCAAAAAAAGGCCAAAAAGTGCTCCTAATCCTTTTTGGAGATTCGCAAAGATCACTGAAGTTCTAAGGCCGGACATTCCTTGCTGTTGGATCCACAAGACCAAGTAACCTAAATATCCATATTTTGCAGTCGAGTAGCCGGAGAGTAAAGCTGTAATGTACACACAACAGAGTGGAAAATAAGGTTAGTTGCAAACTTATTTATGTACACCTCAGTTTTCATTTCTTTAAAGATGAGTCTAAGGCTTGGTAATATTAACAACACCTGTGAAGGCCAAACCAGAGCTGGCAAAACCTGCGCAAGCCGAATCAGCGCCAGAGTCCAGGCGGTAGTAACTGTATACATATTCACGTACACTCTTCCAGCTGAAAGCCCCTGCCATGTGAAGATAAATGCAATTTCAGCTGACTGTTTCTTCTCTAGAGCCAAATGAGCGATCCGGTACTGTCTCAATTATGCGCAGATATCAATATAAAGGAAAAACATGAGTCAAACACTAATGCACGAGTACTACTCAATACAAAGCTCGCATATTGAAAAGAGAAATGGCTGGTTGAGAGAGAGAGGGTTGAAGTCTTCACTTTTATTAATAATAATAATAATAATAATAATAAAATTCAAGTTGTGGTTTGATGACAAATAGAATAGGGTTGTGATTCCAAGACAAGATCTGCGAAAACGTTTTTAAGTGTCCTCAAATTATAGGGGCAGCCTGGGCACGGGTCGGTTTATCCGAAACCGATTTGTAACTAACCAAAAATATTTTTTTTCATTTTTAGCAACCGAAACCGTACCAAAAATGCTTCCGCATTACGGTTTCGGTCACAGGAATATTCGGTATTTTCTGTTGATCAACCGATATTCAAGAGGAGAGAGGGATTTGCTTTTGGGTTTTTCAGTCACTGAACCAATTTTAATGGCTTGTTGAAGAAGTGTAAGTCATGGAGATTGAAGAGGAAGAGAGCTCGGACAATGGTGAGATTGAGAGAAAGGAGGCTGCTGAAAATGAAAGGAAGAGTACAAGTGTGAGTCTAGCAAGATTGAAGGTCAAAAAAAGGTCCAGCAAGATTAGATGACTGAAAAATTTCAAGAGTTTGGCACTTCGGTTTTGAGATGCAAAGGAGGGAAAATGATGGGTATGAAAGATGTGGTGAGGCGGTGATCAGAGCAAAAAGATGTGAAGAGGCAAAGGAGGTGAACTGCAAATGCATTAATTATGTGGTGGGGCTTGCCTTGGAGAGACAAATGAGATATGACATATTAGGGACATGTGTAGAATAGATTTTTAAGTTTGTATTTAAAATTTAAATCTATAATTATTTACTCTATTTTATTAATTTTATCTTTTGTTTTATATTGAAAAACTGTTTTTTTTTTTTGTGAACTGGAAGCATTATTTCCGTTATCGGTTTTGTATCTTACCCACCAAACCCGAACCCTTTTTTTTGGGTTTTTACCTAATACCGGAAATTTAAGCCCGAAACCCGATTAAATTGAAACCGTTCGACATTTGAAAATCGATTATTGGGTCTTTACTATTTTTTCAGGTCCGGATACTTTTGCCCAGCCCTAGGGGCAGGATTGCTTCTTCAAATGACAAATAGAATAAGGTTTTGATTCCAAGACAAGATATACGGGAACGTTTTTAAATGTCCTTAATTTATAGGGGCAGGATTGTTTCTTCAACTTCCTTATTTTAACATTATCTTCGTAAGTATTTTTGAAAATAAGCAATGGCATTATCGTCGTATGTTGAATTAAAAGATTCAGTCACACCCTCCAATTTTGCTTTCAAGTACAACCAAGATTTCTCACCTGCACTAGCTAGCTCCACTATCTTTACTGTACAAACATTAAAGACTTCCTGATTTTACTGCGACCATGAAGACCAGATCACTGCAAACCATATTAACCATTCATGGCTCACTCCATCTTCTGCCAGGGCTAGTCCTTTATGCTGCACAAGATTACCTTTTATTCCATACAATAAAAATGTGAGATGGATTTTCGCTTTTTATCTTTTTTAAGAAGGGAATCCCGGTGATTAATCTGGCTATATGTACAAGTGCATGCTGGATGTTGCTGCTGTATGCTTATTCTTTACACGTAATTTGTTTTCTTAGAGCGTGTTA